TGCAGCATAGTTGAGTGTCATCTAAGCCCCCCTGTGAGTCCATCCTGTTCCTCTTCCCTCCCACACATGCAGAGCATCTCAGGCTTCTTGCCTTCTCCCACTGCTGATCTCTGAGTATGCACCACGCCCACGAACTGCAACAGACGCCTGTATCCACCTTTTTGCCTGTTGAAAAATTGCGATCGCTTCTACAAAACGTTTATTTATTGTGCTCTCTCCTGGAGCTTGCATCTGTGATGCCATTCCCCTTAGCAATGTCTACCTCTCTCGGGGCATTTATCATACTCCTCCTTTTAATAGAGTTATTCAGGTGGTGATGAAGAGTGTTTCCAATTATGTGTCTGCTGTGTGTCAGGACCTGCACGACGTTCTTTATAGGCAGTCTGTGTTTGAATCCTGACCACAAACTAAAAATTAAGCATGATAGCTCTAATTTTACAAATAAAGAAAATGAGGCCCACTGTGGTTAAGTGTCATGACCAAGGTCACACAGCTGGGAAAAAACAAAGGGGAAGTGGAATGCAGGGGCATCTGACTCTGAGACTAGTACAGTCCCCTGTCTTCCTGGGAGGGTCTCCGTGGAAGCCCATGTTACTTCTGTTTGCTTCACCACCACCTAATGGTCTTGGAATGTCTCATGTGCATGTCGATGCTGTTTTCAGATATTTCATCAATTAGGAGAAAGTATAAAAGCCTTTGAGTAGCTGGCTTTTCTTTACCCTAAACATTTTAAATATATTTCAAAGCAAAATAACATTTTGAAATGGGTCGAGAGAGTACCAAGCACCAAAGGGCGCACGGGTACAGCCTGTGACTTCCTGGAGCGCTGTGTTCTTAACTGTCGGGTTTTCACAAATACTTCTTAAGATAATTGCTTAATTATTATATCTGTCAAGGAAAAAAAAATTGCACAGCCATCAAGTACTGCATATAAAAATATCCTTTAATCCTAGTTTTTGAAAAAATCGTTCCCTGTGATTTCAGCGAGGCAGAACCCAGGGGCATCTAATCATTCTCAGATTCCTGAAGATATAACCGGATGGAAAACACGGGCACTTTAGGTGAGGGAGGGGCATGTGGAAAAATTATAGTCACCTTTACTGGGTCCCTTTCATTTGACCCTCTCAAAAATATTTTTAAGTCTTTGCAAAATGGAAGGAATGAAGTACTATGGCCTGAATCATAGCATGTTAATAAAAAAATGTGGCGCAGTAGAAATGAGGTTTTGGATCAGAAAAACCAGGGCTTTAAACTCAGCTCTGATGATCTTTCTGAAATTTAGTAGAAACTGCATAACTCCTCTGAGACAAAGTTTGGTTATCTGCTTCATGGAAATGTCAGTGTCTACCATACGGTTGTTGAGGGGATTACATAAAAGTCCCTGATGCAACGGTGAGTACAGATGGGGGGTGCGTCAAAATGCCATACAGCTAATCCCCGTTACTGGCAGATTCTATGTTTGCAAATTCACCTAAGGTACTTGCTAAAATTTATTTGTAGTATCAAAACCAGTACTTGTTGTGCTTTCAAGGTCGTTTCCAGGCGTGCAAAAAGTGGCATGTCCCCAGTGGGGGTGGAATAAGACAATACTCTGCCTTCTTGTTTCAGTTCTCATGCTAAAAACAAGTGTCCTTCTCCCAGTCTACATAAAACTACATTTTCCGAATTTCTGTGCTTGTTGGTAGTGGTGATTTTGCTGTTTAAAATGACCACCAAGTGTAGTGCTGAAGAGCTGCCTGGTGTTCCTAAGCCCCAGAGGCTGAGTTGTGCCTTATGGAGAAGACGGAGTGTTAGATGGAATTCACTCAGACATGAGTCATAGTGCTATTGGCCATGAGTTCTATTGTTCTCTTCAGGCCCTGAACGGATTGGAGGATGCCCACCCACATTGGTGAGGATGATCTTACTCAGTCTACAGATTCAAATGCTAATCTCTTTTGGAAACACTCTCACGGATACACCCAGAAATAACGTTCTACCAGGCATCTGTGCGTCCTGTAGCCCGGTCAAGTTGACACGTGATATTAACCATCACACTCTGTGTGATGTTCATGACTTTACTGAACATAATTACAATCAGTGATAATGGATTGTATTCTATTTAGTTACTGTATTAGATAGTTTAATTATTAGTGGCTGTAACAAATTAACTCTAAAATCTCCATGGCTTAACATAGTCGAAGTTTATTTTTCATGCATGTAAAGTCTAAGCAGGTGTTTGGCAGGTGGCCTCACAGAAGGTGAGTGAGGGACCCACACTCCTTCCCTCTTGTGGCTTTGTCAACACATAGGACCTTTGCTTCCAGCCAGTGGACAGAGAAAGAAAGTCATGGGTAGAAGGTCTGTGTCAGTCAGCCCAGAAGTAGAGTACGTCTCTTCTGCCCTCATTCCAGTGGCCAGAGCTCAGTCTCATGGTCACGTCTAACTAATCTGCAAGGGAGGCTGGGAAATGTAATCTAGCCCTGTGCGAAGGAGTTACATAAATAGCCCTGCCACGATTCTCCTTACATCACTCCCTACAGTCATCTTTCCTTAGGTAAATGGCAAAACTCTTAGGTAAGTGGCATTTAAGTTTTTTTTTAGATTATTCTTCCATACTCTTTCCGGTTCTTCACCAGGGGAAGCAGGTCTTGTCTCCTTGCATATGTCTTGGTTAAAAGATGAGATCCTTACATAATGAGACCTCTCTGTATTCTCTTGTTCTATTAATACTTCAACCAACCCTTTAATCCCGGCTCTAAATTTTTGACTGAAAATATTTTTGCCACTGAATAAAAGATCATATAAAGAATAGACCCAGCACCTTCCATGAACAAAAGTATTAAAATACAAATACCCGATAATTTATGCTTGTTCCACCTGAATTGTGGGCTCACATCTAAGTTGCTTTAGCATCAGCCTGTAAAATGCTCACTGTATCTGACCCTGTGTTATCGTGTGTATTTGACGGTGTATTAAAATAACATTGATGTTGCCTGGAAGAAGAATCTACTGCCGTCTGAAATCTCTGCTCAATTTTACTGTGGTTTTATGTTGTGGACTCTGATGGGTGTTATGTTTTTGGTGTCTTTCTGTTTTTGTTTTAATATAAAGGAAAGAGGAAGTGACACAGTAATTATTAGGCTTCTTCTCCCAGGGAGATACTTTATAAAAAAAGTATGGTTTTATACAATGGTCATCTCATATACCTCCTTGGAACTCTTAGGAAAACTATCACAGATTCATTCCCCAAAAAGTTGCACTTACATACATATCCATTTATAATTTTTATACAATTTTAGAGGATTCTTAACCCTGTTAGAAAAAAAGGCTGGTACCATATGATCCAGAAATTCCACTCTTACAGATATGCCTAAAAGAATTGAAAGCAAGGTCTTGAAGAGATGTTTGTGCACCAGTGTTCATAGCAGCATTCTCTCAATACCCAAAAGGTTGCAACCCAAAAGTCCATCAATGGATGCATGGTTAAACAACATGTGGTACATACATACAATGGAATAATTCAGAGTTAGTGTTTAATGGGTACAGAGCTTCTCTTTGGGATGATGAAAAAGTTCCGAAAATGGATAGTGGTGATGGTTGTGCAACATTCTGAAAGCATTTAATGCCAGTGAATTGTACACTTAAAAATGGTTAAAATGATAAATTTTATATTTGCATAATACCATAATCAAAAATATCACATTGGAAAGAGACTGGAATTTAGAGCCCCTTAAGCCTGGGTTGCAGTCCCAGGTCTACCGGTTACTAGGTATGTGTAACTTTGAGCAAAAGACTTACTCTGACTGTCCTTTTCCTTACATATAAAAGTGGGGATACTATTACTGACCTTAGAGGATTGTTGTGGAAATAAATGTGATTAGCCTGTCACATGGTAGCCACTATATAAAGAGGTGAAAAGAACTAACATTAAGTAAGCAAAATCCAGTAGACTACGGTAAGAATAAAGTATCACATTGTATAATAAATATTTTTTTTTGCCTCTGTAGAGATAGAAATATTAACATGAAGTAATACAAATGCCATAGGATTTTTAAGATGGAAAAATAGAGTGGCAGGCCTTGTTCTGGTCTTCCAGTGACTAAAGGGACAGCAGGAACAAAATCACCCCTGCCTGAGGGTGACATTTGTTTGTTTCTTAAGTTGTTTTTAGGTTCTCATATAGGTTTTCCCAATTCTTATAAGCTGTGGGGTTTTTCTTTAATACAAGTCTTATGTGCTTGCAATGTGCCTTGATGTGGGTTCTAAGATACATGTCCACATTCACACGCATGATGCACACACACACAGAGAAATATCACATCTATCTGGAGATCAGATATCCTACAATATTAACTATTTTAAACAGAATCATCTTTGCAGAAGCATGCCAAAAAGCCCTCTGTGTAGCAAATACCAGATAGAAAGGCTATGCAGAGGAGAAGAGGCACGTCCCCGTCCAGTTGGCTGTGTAGAAACTACAACACAGGAACAGGGAGAAAGTGAAAGCTGGAAGAGAAGGAAGCAGGAAAACGACTAACGCCCTTTGTAAGCCTCGCTTGAGGCTGGCATCATGAGTAATGATGAGCCTGCGACATTTAGAAAAGGTTACCTTTCATTCCATTTGTTTTGCTTTTGAAAATGTGAGTCTATGCAGGAATGCATAGAAAATGATAAAACTAAAAGTTTAATGCTAAAGAGATAGAATTCAGATATCTGGAAAAATCATTGTGGAATGAGGTGCTACAATTTATGTATTTATATATTCTATTTGCATTGAGACACAAATAGCTACATTTGACCATTTGTATCACCTAATTGTCTCCAGAATCTGGCTGCTTTGTCAGTTTCCAGCACTTAGCACAAGGCCTGCCTCCTGAAGTGAGTACTCTGTGAATGAGTGAATGAGCAAGTGAAAGAATGAGACTGTCTAGACTATGCCTATGCCTGCAAGACAGGTATTCTCTGTACATGAGTAAAGCCATCCGGGTTTAAAACTATCCCTTTTCTCTTTTTTTCAGAGCAGAAACCACTCTCTTGGGACCATTCATAAGCAAGAGACACCCACACTGTGACACATGCCAGTGCCACCGCCACCACCACCTCCTCTGCCTCCACCTCTCCCACCTCTGGGGGCTCCTCCCCCTCCCCCACCACCAGCGCCCCCGGTAAGACCTGTTTCCTTTTTCTTCTCACTGGTTTACTGTGGAGCATAAACTGCATGCATATGCTTGAGCAGAAGGTTTTAAATGTTCAGAAGCAGCCACTGCCTTGCTTCCCTGTGACAGGTGGCGTTTTAGGTAGCTGACTCTGGCAGCATCAGGGTCTGATTCCAAACCTGCCTGGCTCAGGTGTTTCTCTCTTCCATTCCTGGCAGCTCCCACCCCCACCGTCCGTCTACTGCTGTCTACATCATTTCCCCTCTAATCCCTGCTGCTGGGTGCCTCCTCCCAGTCGCCCTAAGTGACTGTTGGTCTCACTGGACACCTCACGGGAGGGGCCGTCCCAGAGCGCATTGCAAAGTCCAGTGCCCGTGTGTCATTGGCATGGTGACAGTGATCGCTTGGGCCTCGGTCCCCTGGTTCTAGTTCAGTGAAGTTCAGTGTCATATGAAATGCCACAGTGAAATATAAAATCTCTAAATGAAGTCTCCCTGTCTACCCAAGACTATCGAGGCTATTTTAGTTTGTATTGCTGGATACTCTCTCCTAGTTTAATAGTTCTTGGGTTTAGGAGGGGCCATCAAGAGCAGTTATTTTATTTTAATTTTTTGGAATAGGTATCCTCAACATTGGAAGCATTGACATTGGGGTCAGATCACTTTTGATGTCAGGGGGCTGTCCTGCACATTGTAAGATGTTTAGCAACAGCCCTGGCCTCTGCCCAATAGCTGCCAGTAGCACCCTCCCCCAATTTGGCAATAAAAAATAAACGTTCCCATATATTGCCAAATGTCCCCTTATAGGTGGTCAAAATCAACCCTCCCACACCCAGTTCTAGAAGAATGCTAGTGCTTAATGCTTATAGCAGACCTTTCCTCTAAGGAAAACTCATTCTCACACTCATTCTCCGTTGTTCCTCACACCACTTCAGCCAGGGAAGTCTAGTGCCAGCTCCGCTCCGCAGCGTCTGTTTTCAGTGGAAGTCGAACAGTATGATGGTGTGGCATGCAGAGATGATATGGCATGCAGAGGGAGGGCCGCTTGGGGATGATATGAGCCAGGTCAGCAGAAGCCAGGAATAGAACCTGCCCTCCTCCCCCAGCTGCACCCCTCTCTCCTATGTGCAGATGACATAGCTATGGGGAGTACTGGCAATGAAGGGAGAGCCTGAGGTCCCTGCTACAGGGCTGTCATCCCCTGTGACATTAGCTTTGCACATGCACCATATCTGAGGTGCCAAGGGCATAAACCTGCCTGAAACCCGACCTTTGCCCTCCAAGAGAGTGGAAAGAAAGCATATGGGATAAATTACCTATGAACACTTTCTAACCAATATGTAGAAAGAGTAGGAATAGCTGTTGAAGTTTCACTGTTGAATTTGACCTTGTGGTGATGAAGTTTATAAGTAAAGGAAACATACATGAAACTATCGTATGGGTCTTATATGGACTTGCTATTACTGAATAAGTGCCACTTAGAATAACTTCAAATATCATAATATACCCATAAATTTAGCCAGAATAAATAAACTTAATAAAACCCCTGTTATCGTGGATTTGGGGAAATACTACTTTTTAAACACTGCTGCTGAAACATAAATATCTGGGACTTCATAAATGTTGAACAGGTCTTTCTGGGGTGTTCTCTGACAGAAAAAAATAAACCTGTATGTATTATAATTCCACTCCCCCTCCCCATAATCAAGAAGTTTTATTTTTGAACCTAATTTAAGAATTTAACCCTAAAGGAGCCAAAAAGAATTTATATAAGAAGGTACACAGCAATGCTATTTATTCTAGTGAAAAAAATAGATCTTAAATGGTTTATAAGAATTAAATGAAATATATTATGTCACACTGTTAATTTAAAATTGCATTATGCAGTGGTGCTAATTAAAAATTACAGCTATACTGATTATGGAAAAGTAGATTGAAATGATGGATTAAAAATAACACACAGTTTATACGTAATGAAATTAGCTATTTCATATATGTAATAAATAGCCAAGATCAGAAGAGAACTTGATAATACTGAGAGTAAAATTTAATATTTCATCAGGAAATTCCTTTTCATTACAGATGGTTAAATTCATAATAAACAACAATAATTTTACATTTGGTTAATTTTTGAATTCCCTCCCCTCATTTCTTTTTTTACTTTCTTTCTTTTTTTTTTGCTATCAATCTCATGGAAGAACAAGCCAATTCAGGAGGGAAATAATCATGTAAACTCTAATATTTTCTTAAAACATATTTTTCTACAATCTGGGGAAAATACTTATAATACATATTATAAAGGCAAAGAATTCATGTCATTAGCATGTAAATTGCTCTTATAGATCAACACTGAGAGGATGAATAAGACACAGGATATGATCAGGAGGAAGAAATGCAAATGTTTCAATTTGTGTTAAACACAAATTAAAATAATGAGATACTATTTTCAACTATCATTTTGTGATAATATTTTTTCTAAACGTTGGTGGGAGTATTAGGAACCAAGCACTTATAACTCTTAATTGGAGCAAAAATTGATATAATTCCCCAAGATACAATTTGTCAATATAGATCAAACCTTTTAGAAAATGGATATACTTTATGATCCAGTTTCACTTCAAGCAATTTTTCTTTAAGTAATCAATCATAGATGTGCAGAAATATATAGCTATAGGATATTAATGAAAGCATTATTTGTAACAGCAACCAAAAAAGAAAGAAAAAAAAAACCACAACTTAATACCAGGAGATTCTATAAATTGTTATAGAATATACAAAATGATATACTAGGCAGCCATTAAAATCATATCAGAAATAATTTGTAACTTCCAGTGTAATGGTTTATTCAGACAAAGATCATCCATGCAAGCTAAAACCACTCAGTGAAATGAAAGGTTATTGGGGAAAAGGAATGTTCTCAGGATCCCAAGTATCACCCACAGATTACTTCTAACTACAAATGGGAAAATGTCCCCATAGGGGCCAGAGGAAAGCCTCTTGGCTCTCAGAAGTTTTGCTGAAAAATCAACTCACAGCAGGCAGATTAATTGGAGAAACGGCATACAAATTTAATCAATGTGTGTGCATGGAGCCTTCACAATGAAGACTCCGAGACACATGGGAAACTGTCCATTTTTATGCTTAGGTTCAACAAAGTATGAACAGCTATGTAGAAATAGGATTACAGGCCAGGAACGGTGACTCATGCCTGTAATACCAGCACTTTTGGAGGCTGAAGCAGGATGATCACTTAAGGCCAGGAGTTGGAGACCGGCCTGAGGAAGGCCCTGTCCCTACTAAAAAATATAGAAAAACTAGCCAGGCATGGCAGTGCATGCCTGTGGTGTCAGACACATGGGAAGCTAAGACAGAACAGTCGCTTGAGCCCAGGAGTATGAGGTTGCAGTGAGCTATGTTGACTCCACTGCTCTCTAGCCCAGGAGACAGAGCAAGACCTTGTCTCAAAAAAAAAAGAAATATGATTGGACAAAAAGGGTCTGATCTAATGCTATTAGACCGAGTGAGGAAACCCAGCAAGGCCTGTCTGCTAGATTCTTCTTGGCCTCTCTGAGCAGCATCCCTTCCTTCTGGGTGTGGGGTAGGGCCCTCTAGAATGGGGGTCTTATGACCTACGGTCAAACAAGTAGGTCAGATAATTTCTTTATGGACATGAAAAGGCAGAGCAAAAATTAGAGTGTTACTTCTAGGTTTTGTGGCTGGCTTTGAGGGAAGAGGTACTGGTTTCTATGGCCCGCCTATGGGGAACCTTGATGGAGAATGGGACTGGCAGATGGGAGCTCAGAAGAAGGTCAGAGAAAAACTTTTGCTTCTAAGTCTGCTTCTGAGACCTTCATTTTGGGGTATAAATGGATCACACCTACTGTCGCATGTAATTGAATGACCTTATATCGCAAGCCTTTTGCTGTGATATGAGAAATATAGATTATTAGAGCATCACCCTCTAGTAATCTACCAAAAATGAACGTACTCATGAGCAAACAATTAGACACATTCAGAATATGAGACGTTCTGCTACAGAGGTTGGCAAACTAGAGTCTATGGGCCAAATCCAGCTCACCACCTGTTTTTTTTTTTGGTTGTTTTTTTTTGCAGCTCTCCAGCTAAAAAATGTTTTTTACATTTTCAAATGGTCGAAAAAAATCAAAAGAAAAGCATTATTTTGTGGCACATGAAAACGAAAGGAAATTCACATTTCAGTCCCTGTGTAGTTTGATTGGAGCACAGCCACGCTCGTTCATTTACATTTTGTCTGTGGCTGCTTTTATGCTACAGCAGCAGAACGCCAATTAAGCAAAATGTTATTCCTCCCCAAAAGAATTCCATTCTTCTCACTTGCAGATGAGTATTTAAAAAATTACACTCCATTATTACTGTATTTTGAGTTTTGTCAACAAATATTGTGTGGAAATTTGTTTTCTGTTTCGGCATGTAAGTATATACATTACAGCTCTAGTTTTTGCCTCTTGGCCCATGATGCCGACAATATTTACTGCCTGGCCCTTTATAGGAAAAGTTTGCCAGCACCTGTTCTGCAGCCGCTGGGCTCATTCAGCCTTCCACTCAGCAGCAGCAGCCAGTGGCCTTGTACACACGCGTGCCCTGCTTCACCCCTCAGGAACTTTCTGTCCGCTGCTTAGCTGTGGCCCACTCCACCCTGCATGGTCTAGACCGTGCCTACCTCTCAGACCTCCCACTCTGCCCCTCTCCTGGGGTCTCCTGCCTCAGGGCCTTTGCATAGCTGTTCCTCTGCCTAGAAGACTCTTCTGCTCTTCTCGGCTCAGTCTTTTCCTCTTACCCGACTCTGGCTCTTGTATGTATTCTTAAACCTCTCCCTCAGAGCAGTCACCGGTTTTTAATTCTGTCTTTATTTCGCTGGGGTCTATGGTTTTATGTTTTGTGGCCTGCTGAAGACAGGCCTGGGTGACCAGACACCACCTGAGGCATGGTGTAGGATGAGAACCTGATCACATGTCAAGGATGGGGGGTTCTTTGACAAACCTGATTTTATAAAGAAGCAAACACAGGGTCCAGGAAAGGCTCAAAGGCCTGACTAACGTTTGGTCAAGCAGAGACCACCGGCATGTCAGACTTTATTATTATATGCAATCTCTGCAAGGGAGGAGCATTTTGTACGATGTGTGTGATCCTCTGTAATGAAATGCAGTCTTCACTTCAGCTCTGGAACATGTAGAGACTAGGCCAGGGGGAACTTGGGCTAAAAGTTTTTTGGTTTCTTCCTGACACCTCTCTCTTCCCCGTTCCTCGCTTCCCATCCCCTCCTCATCTCTGATGTGCATCTTTTCTTCTTCCACGAATGTGGGGGTAGCAGAGGGAGAAGGGCCCACGGGGCTGCTGAAGTCTTGGAGCAAGCTTTGAGCAAAGCCAGACCATGCTCACCATCTCCTTTTTGCCTCTTTTCTTGTGCCTGCTCTGCTGTTTTTTGTTCTCCTTTGTCTCATCCCCTTAAAATCCAGTAACAATGTCAAAACGGTCCATGTGGTGTGTTGGGTCCATTTATAATTCAATTATTATGGTTGCTTTGCTTTCAGAGTATAACTTAAAAATATATCCAAGGGAAATGTGATAGGTTTTTGAAATGCATTAGAATTTTACTGAACTTTTGCTTTCAAATGACCCCTTGGTGGTGTCCACGATGAGCAATAAAGTCCCTGAGAGCCTGTGATTCTGTCTCCCTGCCACACTTTCATGCTCCGTGTGGTGGGCTCTCCTTACATGCCACTGCCACGCTGAGCAAGCCTTTGGAGTTGGTTGCCCCGGCAAAGCCTGACAGTAGGGTTCATGGCCACGGCATGTGCGTTTATACAGTAGGTCTGTGGCTCTTTGTAGCAATATTTTTTATGTTCCCGTTCAAGCTAAAGTATCTTAAGGAAACAGTGCCAGGGCAGGCTGTATCTTATTATTTAAATACGAATGGGGAAATTGGCTTGATAATCACTTATTTACCGTGAAAAGCGACACTGTAAGTAGGAAGACACCATGGTTCTGTGTATTTCTGCCTGCCTATTCCGGGCGTGATGTTTCCTAAGATGCTGAAGGGAAATCACAATGAGAAGCTTATCACGGCCCCTCGCTGTTCTCCTCCCTGGTTTCTGTTTGCTAGAGTCTTTGTTTATATTCTGGAAACTCAGTGGCACAGTTTTTCTCCTTGTATTCTAAGGATTGCATGATTCTCGGGCAAAGTAGACTTTCCAGTGTTAGGAAATATAAGCTGTGACTTACAGGGGGAGGTTTTCCCACCATCTCTAGCATGCTGGGGCTCACGTGGTATAGAAAAACATGCCAATCTGTGAAAGAAAATGGGGAAAATGAAGTGTTCTCTGAAATCCCATGAGAGCTTTTTGTGGAGTTTTGTGTTTGCCGTTGTATTAAAAAAAAAAAAAAAAAGCGGGGATGGGAGCGATATGTGGAAGGACACTTAGTAGAATTGCATATTACACTATATTCTGGAAAAGGTAATTTGCATGTTTACTGGTGCATTTGGAATAATGAGAGGCTTAAAAACTCTCACACACTGTCACTCACTCAGGTTCTCCTGACACTCTGGTGTTTTGATTAGTGTTGCTAATGAGGGACTGGGGACGTTTACCCAGGACTGACAGCGGCCACTGGAAGAGGGGAAGGCTTTTGCGCCAGGCCAGGCTATTAGGATAGTATTAAGCTGACATTTGGTCTCTGCTTAAGCAGTTTGCAAAACTACACCTTTGTCTTCAAGTAATTTTCAAAACTTGATTCTCCCTCTCGCCTTTGCCAGTTTGCACTGGGAACAGTAACACCGCTTGAGTGAAAAATGAGCCAGTGTTTGCGGCAGATTGCCTTGGTCTGCAAGAGGGAGAGGTGTGGCAGGACCTGCCACTCATACTTCCAAAGGGCCATTCAGGATGGTATTTAAATGTGTTTCTTTTTTCACAGCTGGGAGGTGGGAGGGGTGGCAGGAACAAAATCGAAGGCCTGCAGCGTCTAGCAGAAGGCGGCGATTATGTTCTCATAATGCCCAGGTCTTGGCAAGATAAGCCTGCCAGTCCTGGGTAAAGGCCTTTATCAAGTATCACAGGAGCCCCGGAGCATAAGCTGCTCCCAGGCGGTGTCTGACCTGAGGGCTATGCAGGAAGGTGACATGGG